TTATTGAAATATTTAAGAGAAGATCAACGGTTCAGTCCCTCTTGTGGACTTTCGTCATGATCCTGACGAAAGTCCACAAGAGGGACTGAAACATTGATCTTCTCTTAAATATTTCAATAAAAGTTACATTTTCAGGAAATCCGAGAGTGCAGCCAACTATTTCAATTGCCTATATATATATATATATATATATATATATACACCCTCCTACATAGCACAATGACTTATGGGGCTGGCATAGATTTTTTTCCAGGGCTGCTTCGTATCCCCAGTCCGGCCCTGCCTGGAGCTACGGGCTAGAGTTCACTCTCACCACTTCCTGGTGGTCGCAGTAGTAGGAGTGAACTCTAGCCCCATACACACACTGCCCCCACACACACACACCATACACATTCGCACACTGCCTCCACACACACCATACACATTCACACACTGCCCCCCACACCCACACACTGAACCTTTCACACACATTGCACCCCTCACACATTGCACCACTGCTCCTATACCCTACTACAGCCCCATATCCCAGCAGACTCCAGGTAAGTTGTCAAGCTGTTCTTAAACGGTTTGACTACTTACTCTGGGAGGGGGTGCCGACGCTCCTGGCACCATAACCACTACACAGAGGAGTAGTGGTTATTGTGCATGGAATATTTCTTTAAATAATCTACAAGTGCCCCTCCCGGGCTCAGGCTCTGGATCCGTCACTGGTATATGACATGTATATTAATGCGTATATAAGTTTTATATATCTATCTATCTATCTATCTATATATAGATAGATAGATAGATAGATAGATAGATAGATAGATAGATAGATATATATATAAATATCTAGTATATTTACACATATTAATGTGCATTTATATATGCATAATACACAGAGAAATTTCATTAATATGTACCATATGTAATGAGCAGATATTGGCCCAGTCTTGTTGCTAGGTGCATACTCCAGCACAATAACATATTTAAAGTGAAGAGCACACCCACAGGACTTCTAAATAAAAAATGTTTACAGTTGTGCCCTACATACATTCACCATTTCAGTCCCATTAACAAGCTTTCCTTAATATGTCAAGGTAGTTGGACTGAAACATTGATTACATAGAAAGGGACGTCTGCTTAAAATAAATCTGCACTTTTGTTTATTTTGAAGCCTATGAGTGCGCTTTTTACGTTGAAGTACTTTTTAATTTTAAGTTATCTGTTCTAATTCTGTATCTGCACACTATGCTGGCGCGACGCATTATGGGGCTGGTAAATATTTTTTTTCCAGGGCTGCTTTTAATTCCTAGTCCGGCCCTGGGTGCTGACAAGATGTAGTGGGAGTTTAAGAGCAAGGCTTACATTTGTATGTTTCTATTTGCTGTTGTATTTTTTATTACACACTAATGTTACAGTGATCCAGCCACCACATGTGTTCCCTAATAAGGGTAAATAAATATGTTGGAGTTTAGAAACAAAACCCTCTTTGTCTCATTAGAGATTTTACCTTTTAGCTGAAAACAACAAGGTGAGTTGCTATTATTATTATTGCCATTTATATAGCGCCAACAGATTCCGTAGCGCTTTACAATATTATGAGATGGGGGATTTAACTTTAAATAGGACAATTACAAGAAAACTTACAGGAACGATAGGTTTGAAGAGGACCCTGCTCAAACGAGTTTACAGTCTATAGGAGTTATTAGTATATGACTCACCTGAGAAGTTTTGACTTGATGTGGAATGTGAGCTTACGCTTAAATAGCCATAGAGGTGATACAAAAAAACTCCAGTTATTTAAATGTACATAGGGATTTGGGATAGTGTGCAAGTAACTTTTTTTTTTCTTTGTTTTTTATTGTATATAATTATTTTTTTCAAGTGACATTAGATGTACAGTAGTGACAAACCTACACAAACTCTCCACATTTATATTGAGTTGTTTCATTTCCGCACATTATTTTACATGAGAACCACTTTCTTCATTTTAACCCCTTAAGGACGGAGTCAATTGTACATGTTCTGATCAAAACAAAACCTGAAATTTGATTATATATCTTTTCAACCATAATTCACCTCTTTCATATTAAGTGCATCTATACTTATTATATATCATGTAGTTCAGGAGAAGCAGGGCTTTCATTCCACATCAAATAATGACATTTTAAACATAATTTAATATGAATAAAATGTAAAAAAGCATGAGAAATTAAGGAATGTTTTCTTAGTTCTGTGAGGCATTTTAACTGTAAATGTCATAATACTATTAGCTTTTACTGCAATAAAATACACATATTTTTGTTCAGAGATGTCTTGAGGTGCAGCAGTGTTCCCCATGTACAGGTTTTATGGGGTTTTGGAAACTTGCAGGGTCAAATATAGGGCTTTCCCCGTTCCTTTTTTTACACATTGAAAAGTGCCAGAATGGTTATGTTGCCTTTGATACCATATGGCAGCAAAGGAATATAAATGACCCTCAGCATTTGAAAAAGTAGACAACCCAGGGTATTCAAAATGGAATATGTCCAGTGTTTTAAAGGACCACTATAGGCACCCAGACCACTTCAGCTTAATGAAGTGGTCTGGGTGCCAGGTCCAGCTAGGGTTAACCCATTTTTTCATAAACATAGCAGTTTCAGAGAAACTGCTATGTTTATGAATAGTGCGCCTTCCCCTATCCTCTAGTGGCTGTCATTGACAGCAGCCACTAAACTTTATCGTGCTCTCTGTGATTTTCACAGTGAGCCGCTCAGCGTCTAGAAGAAGCTTTATTATGAATGCTTTCCTATGAGCCGACTGAATCTTGCCACTTGCCCAGCTCTTGCAGCGCATGCGCCATTCAGCCGACGGGGAAAAGGAGAGAAGGAGGATGGGAGGAGGAGCTCCCATGGCCTTCTGGAAAAGGTAAGTTTAACCCCTTTTCCACTTTCAGAGCGAGTGGGAGGGTCAGGGTGAGAACACCTCAGGGCACTATAGTCACCAGGAAAACAGTATGTTTCCTGGCACTATAATGTTTCAATAACTACTTAGTCACAAACACTGGCCAAATTTAGCGTTAATATTTGTTTTTTTTTCATTTTTCACAAATAAACTGCCATTCCACAGCATTATATGTTTTAGTGCTTGAAAACACTCATATTTGTGTTTAGTAATGTCTCACGAGTACAACAGTACCCTCATGTCTTGGTTTTAAGGTGCTTTGGAAAGTTACAGGGTTAAATATAGGGCTTGCAAAATAAATTATCTGGACTTTTTACCTCTGTTGTCAGGCAGGTCTCTCAAATTGGAATTAGTAAAGTCACATAATTATGTAAAACAATTACATAAATATACACATACAATTAAAATATGTATGTTTATGCAATACTTTATGTAATTATATATTTATAGGATTTTTTCAAATTATTTTTATTTATATGTATATATATATATATATAATTTAATTCTAAGTGTATTTTGATACAAATATATATATATATATATATAATATCAAAATACACACACATATATATATAATAAAATACAGTTAGAATGAAATTATATATACACACATATATATCATTTTTTCTATATTTTTATTTATTTAATTTTATGTATTTATTATTTTTATTTTATAATAAAACATATATACAATATATAGTGTATTAATTACAATATATGCAATTTCATTCTAAGTGTATTTTTATATTAATACATGTATATAATATATACTGTCAGTCAGTCCTCCTGAAGTGGATCGCAGTAAAGGTAAGTATGCTGGAGCTCCTGGACATGAAAGCTGTTACTGCGTTCTATGCCACCGCAAAGGCTTTAAAGCCCATTATACTGCAGATAGCATAGAATGCTGTAACAGTGTTAAGGGGCCGATGAACAGGGCAATCTAAGCTCCATATATTTTACAGTTCATTATAGTGAATAAGGTGCCATGAGTTTATAATTTTAAAACAAACTGTTGAAGAGCAGTTTGACAAAAACCTGGACCCCTCTGGCACCCATAGTCTACCCACGCTGCAGCAACAGAGCAACTAAGACCAACATATTTACAAGCACCTTCTTCGCCCTTATTGTGCAAAATGGTTGCATATTCAGTATAAAACTTTAGTGGACTGGCTCCCTACACAAAATAAAAGGTATATGCCAGTAAAGAAGAGGCAAACTAAAGATATATTTGTAAAAAAAAAAAAAAAATGCATTTCCAAACAAAGAGACAAACAAACTTAGTAGGTGTTGATTTTTTTATTTTTTTTAATCTATTTTATTATTTTTATATATAAATAGCAATATGTCATATTTACAATAAATACATTTATACTGTTCCTACACAATCTGCAGCACTTTACAATGCATAAATGACACACTGACTAAGTTAGACATAGGGTACAAGATGCAGCCCTGCTCAAATGAGCTTACAGTCTAAAGGAAGGTAAGAAGCACAATGTGTTCAGAATGGAAGTTCCATTGCCAATTGTACAATCTATATACAACTACATACAAATTTATAAGGTGTTGATTTTTTTATTTTATTATTTTAAAAAAAATCTATTTTATTATTTATATATACATAACAACATGTCATATTTACAATAAATACATTTATACTGTTCTTACACATTCTACAGCACTTTACAATGCATAGATGAAACACTGACTCATTTAGACTTAGTGTACAAGATGCAGCCCTGCTCAAATGAGCTTACAGTTTAAAGCAGGGGTTCTCAACCCAGTCCTCAAGGACCCCCTACCAGTCCAGGATTTAGGGATTACAATGTTGTGTCTAAAGTGTTTGTTCCACCCCTCACTAAAAACACATTAGACACAGCAGGGTAATCCCTAAATCCTGGACAGTTTGGGGGTCCTTGAGGACTGGGTTGAGAACCCCTGAAAGGAAGGTAAAAAGTTCAAAGTGTGTAGAATGGAAGGTTCATTGTCAACTGTACAATCTATATACAACTACATACATTATATTAAGGAGAGTCCAGTGAGTTCTAGGTCTAGATAGAACTTCTGTAATAAAGGACATGGGTTTGAAAATTGTGGGCGATGTGGTTGGAAGCATAACAGATACAAAGGTCGTTGACAGAGAGGTAGTGTAGTTTGAGGTAGAGTTTGTGGGGTGGAAACAGGTTTTGAATAACTTACAGAGGGTAAGGTGTAAAATTATCCTACTAAAATGCATGGGCTTTCTGTTTCACCTTGTGTCAGACATGATGAATTTCAGAGGTAGTGGGCAGGATTTGGCAATTAAATTTAGATAAGGTATGAATGAGAACGCAGCATTAATAATAATGGCAGGGAAGTGAAGTGGTAGGGTTATCGCTACAACATGGAAGAAAGAGTGATCAAGATGGGTTAATGCTCGAAAAAAAAATGTTTTACTGTAATAAAGGAAACTAGGAATGCGGCTATACCATGGTTTACTGAGTATAGTATCCAGGAGGCATCCTTTGCATGGCATGTTGGATGAATTTTCCATTTTGGTTGTTTGTAGCCATAAAAGGTGTATGATTTGATCCAGTCATGTTAATTAGATAGGGTTGTGGTACTGCCATTGGTGGCATGACACAGTTTCCGGTGTTAGGAGCTGGAATGGGTTGAACAAAGTTACCAGATGCAATGGCCCTCTCCTTCAGGTGTATCTTCAGGTCTTTTTTTTCCTTCTGGCGCCGGTTGCAAAACCAGTTTCTAATAACCTGTTGATAAATAATGAAAGTATTGCATGGTCAGTAAAGGAATTTATCTTATGTGAGGGAATCTAATTATTTTATATGATGTGGTCTAATTATTTACAAATTATTTACATTTAAAGAGGCATCATTTACAAATACCAAGTCTGATTTATGCAGAGCAAAACATTTGGGAAATATATAATATGTATAATTCACACATTAAAATATTTGCTGTTGTACCAGGAAAACAGTTACCTCTACTCCCAGCTAAAACAAATTGAATTATTCATTGAACTGGAAATTTGTCAAAATTAAAAAGGGGATTGCAAATATTCCAAAATAGCGAAAAACTCCTTACAAAATTATGGTTTTTAATGGCTCCATTGGAAACATGTCCAACTGGCCCTTATCATAGAGTCTTCTTTTACCCAAATTGCACATATTGTTATTTAGATCTCTAGAACTCATTGTTAAAGTGACTGCCACAAGATTGTCACTATAACAGTTAACTCAGAAAGTAGACAATATATAAATCTAAATTATATCTGTAATCACTTTAATAGCTGTTAGTACTCAACTCCTCTCCAGTGTGCCATGAAAGGCTTCCCAACTGTCTACAGCATGATTATCCTTCCTTGGAAAATTCATCGCCAGTCAAGGCAATTCTTCCCTATGATGCCAATACAGTGGCCACATTGTCAGAACATCCTCATCAAAATGTAATGACACAGTCACCCAATTCCTATATATATATATATCAAATTAGTAACTTAGAAACACACACTAAAACAGTAATCACTGCAACTACAGTATATACAAATGCAATGTATATTAGTTGCATTGCTGTGAATGCAACTGCATGACTTTGTTATCTAGCTCTCCTGTGACACTCAGTTCTTGGCATAGACATCTATCTATCAAACATTAAAAGACACCTGAGCTGTTAAATAAATATTTAGCATTTTTGGGACTGCTGACACAAACACCAGATTTCTCTTCACAAAGTATAATTCACTAAAGTGAGAATTTAAAGTGAATTCTAAGTGGGTGTCAAATTTAAGGTCAAAATAGCCCAATTAGAAAAATTATCAGCTATGGAAATATTCAGCTATTCATTCATTTTGGCTGCTTTAGGCTGAAAGGAACACTAGTGTCACGAATACAAACATGTATTCCTGACTCTAAAATTTTCTTCATGTGGTATTTTAGGTGACCGTCTCCATTTGCACTTAAAAGGTGATTTTACCGACCGTTTCTCCCACACCATGCTTGTTTTACTGTAGCTAGCAGTGTTTACATTGCAAAGCTTATAGGGACAGGCTTTAGACATCAGAACCACTTTAATCTGAAATTCACATTGAATTCACTCTGAATTCTCACTTTAGTGAGTAACTCTGTAAAAGTTCATGTCATAGCAGTTGATAGAAATGTTCTTACTGTCAATACTTACTTTGCATTTTAGCTTGGTTGTTGTTGAAATGTCTTCAATGTTGCTTTTACTGGGATGAGCACACTCTGTAAAAGATAATTCTAATACTTTCTTTGTCTCCTCATCAATGAACGTACGGCTTTTTGTTTTTGTAGAGTTTTTCGGTTTTTCTCCTCTGTCAACAATCTAGTGGGATGCAAAAAGAAAAAAAAAAATACAAAGAATAACCTGTTAATCACAGAATTACATGTTTTCCAACCTAGTTGATTAACAAATTTCAAAATAAAAAATACCAACATTTTTAATGAACAGATTTCACAAAAGCTCCCCAAGCACCATAGCTACATGTACAACTTATTTTAAAGCAATGGACTATTTTCCTTCTTTTATCATACCTACTATAGCAACAGTGATTTATTAAACTCCTGTAGCCATGTGCCCGTCTCCTACCTTGCAAAATTAAGATATGCTTCTCCTTGACATGCCAAACATGCCCTAGGCTAATCATATTAATGATTTTTAAAAATGATGTTTATATTGAACTCAGTACCTCTCATCAGACATAACACTAATCTCTGCAGCTCTACAAAGACATAACAGTGAACTTTGTAGCTCCCTGTGTCTATAGTCTTGCTACAAACAGCTTCAAAGGCCTAGATCTCTTGAAAATGATCTGACACAATTATAGTTTGTGATATGAAAGTGGTATTTATTTGCTAGTGTTTTAAGTGCAATTGGGAAGAGGAACTGTCCCTGTGTAGCACAGAGAGAGCACCATTAGATGTGCTTCAGATTTCTGGCAGTCAATAAGATCATGCCAAGCGTGCTTTAGCAGTACTCTCTGCATGATCTACTAGAAGGGTTAGCAACCTTTGGCAACTCTGGACTACATCTGCCATAATGCCTTTAAAGCCATAATTCTGTCAAAGCATCATGGAAGATGTAGTCCATAGCATTTGGATTGTCAAAGGTTGCCACCCCCATCAGCTGGCCATAGATGCTGTCAGCTTGGCGTACTTGACCCCATGCTGACACGCTGCTTTAATGGTCCAGCCCACTCCCTTTTGCAGGCAGGTTCACCCTGACATTGCTACTAGGATCTATATATCTACTTACCAATCCCATGGCTCCCAGTGTTGGGAGATATGAGGTCATAGTTGTTTTAATACAATGAATTCCACCGCTCATAATTGTGGAATTTTGACAATGATTAACTTGATGTAAATAAATCTTTAGGGGATAAGTCCCTGTTAATGCTTTCATAATTATGAATTGTTCTACTTACTGCTCGGCTAGATGGATTTGTTTCAACTTCATGAAACCATTTCTCCAGAACTGGTTTCAGTTTCCGCATATTAGTAAGGCTCAATTGGCAAGCTTCAAATCTGCAAACTGTTGTCTGGCTAAAATGTTTATCTGTAACAAGGCAGACAGTTTGTCAGTTATGTGATAGTCAGGTGTTCTGGCTTTAAATAAAACTCTCTTATGCTCTAATATTTAATTATCACTAAATCAATGAAAATATTAATATTAATATGCAAAGAGTTTATTTGATGATCTTTTTAGTTTATTATTGTGTTACAGTTTTTACATATATGTATATATGCTATATAATATAATAATAATAATATGTTGACAGCACAGCACTATAACTGCAACCTAAAAAAAGCCACAATGAACAATTTATGCAAACGTGATTCTTTGGAACAATGATATTGTATCCCGGTGCATGTTTCCATGAGTTTTCTATCATTGACCTTGCATTATCTCATATTTCTGAGCATTGGGCTCATGATTAACGTCTACTACATGCCATCAAATTCAGGAATAAAATCCACATTGCGTTTCATTGTATCAAAGCGTTGTTGGAAAAGCAAATTAATTTGCATTAAATGATTCTTTGTGCATTCTGTATTTATCAAACACATTATATAGAATATGACATCCACCCATAAATATATAAAAATAAAATTACATTTATCAATTATATAGTTTTTTGATAATTATATTAGCTGTAATTAAAATACCATATTTTCCCATTAAAATATAAGTTGATTTTTAGTTGTGGATTTTTTTTTATTTTCTTTTTACAAACTGACTAAATATAAATAATTATATCTATCTTTGATTTTTTGTTTTTTACTTTAATGCATTAGTAACTTAGTAACGTCTGATCTTACTGTACAAAACTCCTAGTCCGTCCCCAACGTTTTCCTGGGTAAACCCCAATTTATACCTCCGCCTTTTAATATCTTGGGCAAATTTTTCAAGCTCACTCATGCTTGATTTATCCTGTGAATGTAAGGAGCAAGTTAAACTTGGGGTTAAAGAAAACATTTTGAATTATTTTAAAGTGTTTAGAGCACAGCATCTACAAAGGTCCAGATCTCGAGGGAAACATCTACCATAGTCATAGTTTGTGATATGAATATTTTATTTACTAGTGTACTGAGTGCAATTATATATCAACCATACAGAAACACCATTTACAGGATGGGAAATTGGGGCCATCATTGATGCATATACACCCCGATTCAATAGTCACAGTCAAATAGACACAGTCTTCTGCTTGGAGCCAACATTACCATTGACTTTAACAGAAGGTTTATTTAACTTCAAGTTCCCACTTTTTATTTATAGATAAAGTAAACCTTGGATTTAAGTTTATTTTGACAGAAAAGAGGTAAACGTATCACTAGACTAGCTTCACAAACATTACTGATGGAGAGCCATACCCCAATTTGTTCCACACTTGCAACAGCTATATACCATATAGAATACAAAGTTATATTTATTCAATAAAGAGTGAGTTGATCTAAATTGACAAGTGGATCTAAGTGCCAAGCTGGAAAATATTTGAGATATCTTTTCACCTTTTCAAATATCGGCCTACATTTTTTAATTGTCAATCCACCAGAACTTAATGTTTACTATAAGTAAAATTAAAACGTAGACATTAAAACAAGCATACCAAATGTTTGCATATTCACCACTTTCTACCTTAATGTCTTTTTACAAAAAGTGACCTTGATACACTAAATGGACATTGATAATTTGACAATTTTATATTTAGATGGAAGGTGAACTAGTAGTTGATAAATAAATTAATTCATTTTCAGAATTAAACAATACACTCTGTCCAACATTTAGGCCTCCTACTACATGAGACATTTTAAATGTAAATGTTACTAGCTCAAAAAGAAAATATTCCAAAGTGGACCAAACATGTAGCTGGCTAAAGGAACCACATATTAAAACAGTGCATGAGTTTGCTTTAGTAAGTACTCACCTCAATATCTGAGTCTTCTCTTCCAGTGGATTCCTGTGATATGGTACTTGAAGGGGTGCTGTTTCCAGTCTCAGATATGTTACTTGCAGGGGTGCCGTTCCAATCCCTAGATAAGGTACTTGTAGGGGTGCAGCCACCTGTGCTGGATGTGGTATTTGAAGAGGTGCAGCTTCCAGTCACAGATATTGCACTTGTAGGGGTGCAGCTTCCAGTGCTAGATATGGTACCTGTAGGGGTGCAGTTCCAAGCTGTTGATATGGTACTTGGAGAGGTGCAGTTTCCATCCCTAGATGGTGAAGGATTTTGGTAGGCATGCATGGGGTACTTGACTTGCCCCATCTGAGCAACATAGAGCATGGCCTGTGGGGAAGTGGGACGATTCATGCTTACAGGACTGGCGGCTTGATGGGGAGAAACTTGATTTGGGTTGTAAGGTACTTGGTTTACATAGACAGGTGTTTGGTTTTGGTTTAGTGTTGGAATTAATGGCTGTCCACAATTCATTATGTTGCAACCATTAGGTTCTGTAGCAATATTATGATACAGAGTCACATCTTTGACTGTTGTGGGATTTTGGCTGACCGCTGGGAGAAGAGCTGTATTCTGAAAGCCATGCCCAAGCATATTATGTATTTGAGGCATTGGATCATAATGGGGGAGCTGGTAAATCATGTTTGGCATTTGAGGTGGGCACTGTTGTTGGATGCAATCTTCATAGCCAGGTTTAATTCCACTGTGGGCTTGTAAATTCTCTAAGTAAGGTGGATGGCTCAAATCAGTACCATCTTGTATTTTTCCTTGATAATCTTTGTATACAGCGGGAGGATGTTGTAGATCATGCCCTCCTTGGTTTGAAAGAAAGTCATTATTCATGGTTCTTGTAGTGAACCTCTCTGTTTCCTAACTTGGCTTTCAGATAGTTCTTCTTGGAATTCTTCAAGGTCGCTGGAGTAAGGTCTGCACTGGGAGCAGATCTGCAGGTAAAATCTTTGTAGAAGGCCTCTGGACTAGAGATCAAACTCTAAAAAAGGCATGTATATGTGTCTAATTCAAACCTAGTATGGAAACCCCAGACAGGGCTTGTAGAATGATGAGCAGTGAGAAAGAAGGAAAATGCTAGCAAGAGTTGGAATTGAGCAGGATCTCCTCAAAGGCACTGATGAGAGTAATTCTGAGAGAGTGAAGAGAGCGCTTCAATAGCAGAAGGTGTGGGAGTTAGCCCCACCTCTCTGGTGGGCTTGTTTATTGGCCTTACCTGTTATTGGCTTATTGTCATTAACTATTTCCTCTCCAACCATGATGTCATTTAAGTGATCCCACCCACCATTGATCTCCACCAATCTTCACCAATCACGTATTTTACCTTTTCATTTTATTCTCTCTACCCAGTACAAAACATTATCTGTATAGTTGCATTTCAACAGACTGTTGGCCACCTTCTTTTTATCCTTTTGATTAGCATATGAAGATGTCTGGTTAAGCGCAGACTATTCAAATGCATATACAAATTATCTCTTCAAGACATGAAACATGTGCCTCATTAAAATACTAAACTAATTAGCAATTCCTACATGTTGTCTCCAAATACCTAATTGACATAAATCTCATTCTGGTTAAAATTACTTTTTGTTGCGTTACATTTGACTTACACATTCACTTAAAAAACTCCATTTGGAGCCCAGTGGCTATCGAGATGCACAGAATGGCAAAGTCTATATGTACTTGATCAAATGTGTGATATAGTGCAGAGAGAGCAACATCCTATGTTTTTAAAATTCAACTTTAATATTACTTAAGCAATATTAACAAACACACATCCAGATGTCATGTTATGAGTCTAGAAAAAAAAAAATCTTCTTTGCAGAGGTGTAACTAGAAACCACAGGGCCCTGATGTTAATATTGCCCTGGGCCCCCACCCGTACATCTACCCCCTTGCCACCCTCCCCCATATGTCTACCGTTACCCTCCCATAAGTTCCCACATTCCCCCACACATGCAAACAGAAATACATACACACAGACAGACATACACACACACACACACACACACACACACATACAGGCACACATATACACAGACATACATACACACATACATACAGACACACAGAGAGGCATACACATACAGACAGACATACATACACACAAACAGACACACAGACAAACAGACATACACATACATAAAAAGATTCATACAGACACACCTATCTTTCCTGGGGTCCAATGGTTCAGCCTGATGGGAGTCAGAGTTCCCACTGTGACAATATACTTTAGTAGCTCTTTTCATGCACTATACCACTTTAAACCCTTAGTACTGATTAAAACAAAATGTAAACAAACCTGGAATTTGAGCTAAATATCTATTCAACCATTATTCACTTTCTTCATATTAAATGCACCCACACTTATCATATATCACTTTGTTCATTATAAACAGGGCTTTCATTTCACATCAAATAATAATATTTAAACACAATTTAATATGAATAAAATCTAAAAAAGCATGAGAAATTAAGAAATGTTGTTATTTTATGTTCAGCATAGTTTTTACTGCAAAAAATACACATATTTGCGTTCAGCAATGTTTCATGAGTACAACAGTATGCCCTTGTAGGTTTTGGACAGTTACAGGGTCCAATATAGGGCTTTCCCCTTATCCATTTTTGCCCATTGATATTTGCCTGGTTTATTTGCTGGGCCTTTGTTGCCTTTAAGACGGTATGGCAGTTGAGGAATGCAAATTACCCCCATCATGGCATACCATTTGAAAAAGTACACAACCCAGGGTATTAAAAAAGGGGTATGTACAGTCTTTTTTAGTAGCCACTTAGTCACAAGCCCTTGCCAAATGGAGTGTTCATATATTTGTTTTGCAATTTTCACAATAAAAATGCTGGTGTGGTATGGTTGCGGGGTGAGTGTTACAGGGTTGGGGTGAATGTGGCATGGTTAGAGGAGGAAGTGTAACACAATTAGGGATTGATTCATGTGACTGGGTGTGTACAGCATGATTGGGGGGATGAATGTGACAGAGTTGGAGGGGTTAGTGTGATTGGGTGAGTGTGGTAGTGTGAAAGGGGGTGAGTGTGACAGAGTAATGGAGCATGAGTGTGAAAGCATGGAAGGGTGTTTGTGACAGTGCGAGAGAAGGTGAGTGTGACAGGATTATGTGGATTAATGTGATAGGGTGAGTGTTGCAGAGTGAGAGAGGGTGAGTGTGACAGCATTAGGGGAGTTAAAGGATCACTATAGTGTCAGGTTTTCCTGACAATATAGTGCCCTGAGGGTGCCCCCACCCTCAGGGCCCCCCTCCTGTGGCGCTGAAGGGGTTAAAACCCACTCAGTTACTTACTTTAATCCAGCGCCGGGCTCCCTCTGCTCTGGTGACCTCTCCTCCCCCACCAACGTCAGCTCCCATGTCCGACATTAGAGGAGCCAAATGCGCATGAGCGGCAAGTGCCGCGCGCCCATTCAATAGTGTCCATAGGAAAGCATTTCTCAATGCTTTCCTATGGACGCTCTGTGTAATGGAGGCATAATATGTCTCCAGCGTCTCAGATGCGCCGCTAGTGGCTGTCCGGAAGACAGCCACTAGAGGCTGGATTAACCCCAAATGTAAACATAGCAGTTTCTCTGAAACTGCTATGTTTGCATCTGAAGGGTTAAAACCAGAGGGACCTGGCACCCAAAACAATTCATTGAGCTGAAGTGGTCTGGGTGACTATAGTGTCCATTTAATGTGTTTTGTTGGGTGAAAGGGGTGGCATTGTGTGGAGGGTGACATGAGTGTATGTGTGCAGTGTTGAACATGCAGGGGTGTATGTATTGCCACACACACAGATACACCCTTACACACACAGGTGCAAGGGTGTATTTGTGTGCAGTGTTGGCATTGAAATACTGGGATGTATGCACTGCCACATGCACAGGTATGCACACACATTCAGAAACACGCAGATACACAGGAGCAAAAAAAGACTGACACATAGATACACATGCAAAAGCAAATATATTGACGCACAGGTACACAGACATACAGGTATATAAACACACATGTACATATACATACACAGATACAAAGACATACATATACACACTGACACACAAGTACATACAAACACGGACACATAGGTACATACAAACACAGGTACACATATAGTCTGACACACAGGTAAACATACACTATGACACACGTACACAGACACTCTGACACACAGATACACATACACCGACATACAGATACACATACACTGACACACAGATACATATACACTGACATACAGATACACAGACACACAAACACAGACACACAGATACACAGACAAATGGGTACACAAACACAGACACACAAACACACGGGTACACAAACACAGACAAATGGGTACACAAACAGAGACACACAGGTACACAGACACATGGGTACACAAACACAGACACACAGGTACACAGACACACGGGTACACAAACACAGACACATAGGTACACAGACACACAGGTACACATGTACTCTGACACACAATTACATATAAACACACACACTCTGACACACAGGTACACATGCACAATCACACACAGATACATACAAACACTGACACATAGGTACACATACACTGTGACATACAGACACACAAACACACATACACTATAACAGACAGATACACATACACTCTGACACACAAACACACATACACTCTGGCACATGGGTACACAAACACACAGGTACACATACACACACAGATATGCACAATCTCACATACACAACAACAAATATAAATAATAATTTATGTTTTCTTACTTTTTCTGCAGTGCACTGGGGTCCAGTGGGAGCTGGCTGACCTAAGGTGATGGTGTCAGCCTTCTTTAGAATACCTCTTCTGTCTGCCACCTCCTCCTCCCCACGGGGCTCTCTATTAGCTGACCTGTACTCACTCCTCCCAGCAGGCAATGCAATCCCAGCCATGATCCGCAAGGGAGAGGGGCCCGGCTGCGGGGAAACACATTGTTAGGGGCCCGGCCGCGGCCCTCATGATTAAAGGATCCGCGGGAAATATAATGATAGGATTCTGGCCGCGGTCTGTCTGGGAAGGGGACCGGTCCGGTGAAAAATTAAAGGGCCCGCGGGGCTCAAGGGGCAGATGCTTTGGGCCCCCCAGGAATAAATGGAGCCCCCAGGAATAAATGGGCCCGGGGCAGCTGCCCCTTTGGCCCCGCGTTAAAGACGGCCCTGCGTCTTGTGCAATAATCCCTTTATTTGTGCAAAGGTGGTACAGTCAATGTTTCAGACTCTTTTTTCAAGGCAACATTTTTGAACTACTAAACAAAATTTTATAAGCAGTGAACAGGAAGTGATCTTATAACAAAGTCTCATAGATTAGCATAAATAATTGCATTATGTTACACCAATTCATTTGAAAAACCTAATTAGTGGATGATTCACTAAATGTCACAAAGTGATCTGATTGACAATATATAGAAAGGTCTGTTTATCACAACAGTAAAGAGATAAGAACCCAGTGATAAAGGGAAACACTGTGTTTTTAAATTGTGTTTAAATTGTGTTTGAAAAAAATCATTGTGAAGCTCGGACAGCTATAGTGTTAAATGTAAAAATAAAAAACGCATAACCAAAGTATTTACAGGCTGCAAAGTTCTACATATAATAATATAATTTAGAGGAGATTGAAGCATACACCTACTTCATGCAGAGACATTATATAAAGCAGTTCTCAGGGAGAGCGTGAATGTAAAGGCTGATGGATGTCACGTGAAAAGTTACCAGTTCTCTGGTATTGGGCTGGATGTGTAGGGTGAAATGAGAGAGATAATGATTCAGAATTAAACAGCATTTGGTTCCCCGACAGCACAATGAACG